ATTGTACCAGCACGAGATGATATGTGGGGGTGATTGTGGAGCAATTGGTGGAATGAAGATTGGCACACCTTTCGCAAGAGCAGGTATCACTTCGTTGTGCTGTTCCCTATTCAATTTTAGCTTGGCTCTAAATTCTGCCCTGTAAATTTTGTTATGTTTAAGCTCCTGCCTGGTACAACAGAGACATTTCTATGTTCAATGACTGCTCCTCAATTAAAAATCGTCCTTCTGCTAGATTCGCTTCAGCTATTAAGATTTATAGGAACGTTTGACGTATTTGGAACCCAAATGTTTCCCTTAATCAAATTCTATAACGGCACTTTCTTAATTATTAAAATATTAATTGTGTTCACTGCGAATGTATGTATTCATATTTTTCTCACCTCGTAATGCTTGACGTGACAGCATTTATTGAATTGTTATTATTCTGTAAACGATAAAAGTTGTCTTCCTTTGTCTTTTGTTTGTGTCCGTGTGTTCCTTTGTTTCATTCTTTCCTCGAGCTTACTTTATAGTTAGCTTTCAGGCTGTTATGTAAGCACGTAAATAAAGAAAAAAATAAAGGATTGAACTGAATTATAACTTATGTACGCTAACCACTAGGTCACTGTTCTAAAGGCCCAGGATTCCACTATAATCTCAGCCCGGCAATATAATATCACAAGAAGTTCTGGGAAGAATTAATCACTTACGTTCCTTTGATACAACAAGGAACGCATAGAAAACGACGCCTCCAACATTTCTTCTTTGCCCCGGTACGTATTTTCTCGAGTTTTTACCCCCAAACGATAGGGGGGTACGTGGAAAGATCAACAGGGGCTCTTTTGATAGGACAAGGACCGCAAAGACAATGACGGGCCCAATAATTCTTCTATTCTTGCGTGTATTCATTACCGTGGGAACGTGTTTACCGAGCCGTTGCCTAGCACCGAAAGAGGGATACACTTAACCGAGCCGTTGCCTTGCAACGATAGGAGGGATACACATACAGACACACAGACTGATGGGAGGGATTTGTGAAGTACGCCGTTGAGATGAGGTCAGTTGCCAGGACAGACAGACGCACAGGCAGGATGGAGATCGCATAAACCTACTTTAGGAAAATAGACTAAAATGGATCTTAGATAAATAGGGCGGAATGGTAAGGACTGGATTCTTATTGCTCAGGATAGGCATCAGTGAAGGGCTCTTGTGAACATAGTAATGAACATTTGGGTTCAATGGAATGTTTTGAAATTCTTCAGTAGCTGAGAGACTGGAAGATTCACAAGAAGGACTCGGCTGCAATCACTTGTAGACGGAAAGAGAATAAATATCCGGGACGTCATGTATAATAAACATATTTCCGACAGTAGATGATGTCCAATGAAATATTAGCATCAATCGTTGTCCCCCCATCAGAAGAACCTTTTTCAGTAACTTGCTTATGTTTCGTTAAAATTTTGCATAGTCGAAAACGGAAAGATCGCCGACTTACCTGCACGTGAACTCACGTTCCTGGAGGCAGAGCTCCATACACTCTCGACGAGATCCGACGCGACGTCTGTGACGTATGTAAGTCCGCAGTTCATGACCACGCACCACTTCGAATAGCCATGGCCGGGCACACGGCGCCCTTATGCAGGTCTTCTGGGCGAATATGGTGAACACAGGGAACTGGGACTTCGTGAGAGCTCCTGCAACAAAAACGGCTCAAGTCAACCTCAGGTCTCGCACCCCTGACCTCTGTATGACATGGATGGTGCCTTCGTGGGTTATGCCGCTTCAAATATTATTTAGCGTCGAGTTATAAGAGAAGGGCCGCCTCTGTGATCTAGTGGTCAGAATCCCTGCTTACAGATCCAGAGGTCCGGGGTTCGATTACCGGCGCTACCAGTTATTATGAGCGGTAGTGGGTCTGGAACGGGGTCCACTCAGCATTGTGAGGATAACTGAGGAATGGAAAAGTAGCGGCTACGGCCTAGAAAGCCGAGATTAACGGCCGTGGAGTCCATTGCGCTGACCACGCGACACCCTCTGTCCGCAAAAGTTTGCACTAACTTCGTCGACAAGCGGCGGTTGCCCGGTCGGTATAGTGTGCTTGCGGACTAAAGGCCACGGAGTTAAAAGATAGGAGTAGAGGGCGCGTGAACGGGAAACTGACCGTAGTATATTTAATGTTATTCGTATGGAAGGAGCAAGGAAATTCATTAGAAAAAATGAGGGTTATTTAAGGTGGTTATAGCGATATCACTTCATAACTTATTTAGAGAGAATGTTATGAAAAGTTGATAATGTTCATTCATTAAGAACGATGAGTTAGGAATCAGACTTGGCTTATTTAAATTTATATTGTCACGCGATGGACTGACTATAGATGGGTCTGGATTGATAACTGGATATACTGAACACTTAAAACTCGGAGCTACAAGTAACTATAGCACTATCGCTAATTCACACACTCTGTAATTCACTACAGCAAGCAGTGAGTCTTCTCAGTCTGTTATATCTTCATTAGTCGTTGTCTGGTAACGGCTTCCAACGACATAGTTTCCTCAGCTTCTGTGTTCACGTCCTTACCGGTTGCGACTCTCTCACGACTAACTCGTTGTTGTTACACGACTTACGATAATTAGGGCTCCTCTGTCTCCCAAGCCTCCATCAGGGGCAGCCTCCATCAGCCTGAGACTCGGACTGGACCTCACAGAAAACACTACTTCCGACAGTCCTTCTACCGTTGCATGAATGACTGCTGCTGCGCTAACAGCGTTTCGTGTTCTATTGTTGCGTCACTCTTCGTTGCGCAGTAACCTAGTAACGGATGTCTCTTCTGAATAAAGTATTCAGACTTTCAGCTGACATGCCACAATATTATTCGCAAGACCAAGGAAATTACGAAATACCTTCCGGTTATTTAATGATGCAATGGCGTCTCAATTTAGATGTTTAGTGAGAATGGTACCCACATAACTTGATAATGTGCCTGAATTAAAAAGATGAGTATGAAATTTGTCGTAGCTTATTAAAATTCTTGGAAGAATTTAGGGAACTCATAAAAGAAGATTCCACAATGGTATTAGATACTGTGGTCAAGTTGATAGCATTCACAATTCAAGTGAAGGCTACAGATTATCATAACTGAACTACTTGGAGATAGTCCTTATTTCCTTCAGGCAAATTACAGAAAGGTAAAGCTATCCCTGTAACAGTTCTCGGAGGCCCACACAGTTGTGAGACGTTGAGGCTCCCACATTTTCTAAACAATCGGCTCAAAGATGGAGGTAAGGTTGTCAGCCTTAAGAGACGGCCGAACTTTACACCCCAGGAAATTCCTGATACTCATTTCTGTTAGAGGCTGAGTCCACACCAGGGTCATAGTGCGGCTGTAAGGGATTAGGTCAATTGAAAAAAAATCAAATGAACTCATCGGGATCCGATCCCGCGACCTTCCGGCTTGTAGCAAAGTTCCTCAACCAACTATGCTACCGAATGCCCCGGTAAATTCCAGGGTAGCACATAAAATTGTGTCATGTCCACTTTCTTCCACACCCTTCCCTATTATTTATTCTTCAGTTGTTCTCTCATTGGGCACTGTGTATTCTGAGCTACTGCTAACGTAGTTCAAAAAAAGGTATATAAATACATGTAATTCGATAGGGATAATCTTGCTCTATTAAAGATTCGAACAGGGTAGTTCTCGAATCCAAATTAGGCATGTGAAACTAGTAAAATGGAGATTTGAAGGTTAGGGGCAGCTCAGTTCTTTGTTTGTTTCTTTCTCTCTTTCGTTCATTGCTTCGCGGATTCTTTAAGGGCGCTTTTAGTAGTGAGAATATATATATATAGCGCCGGATGATGCTCAATATTTAATTGGAAAGAATATGGAAGAAAGCTGTCTTCTCTTATTAGAGGTACTAGCGGTACATTCGTCTGGAGGCACTGAAGAAATCCACGACAGCCAGTGTCTCGGTCAAGGTTCAGACCTGCTTCCTCCTAAATACAATCATAGGGCGTTTCCTTAATATCAGTTTCATAACGAATCGTGTTGATGACCCCTAAAAGTACGTTTAATTCAAGATACACAACAGGATGCAGGAAATAAACATGAAGCCTTTTATTATTGCCAGTGGGGTGGGACTAAGTCCCTTGCACTGCGGCCACTTCTGGCTTATTGTACTAGCCCCAGATGATAGGTGAGGGTGATTATGGAGCGATTGGTGGAATGAAGTTTGGCAGGAGAAACCGAAGTACTCGGAGAAAACCTACCCCAGCGCCATTTTGTCCACCACAAATCCCAACTGACCAGACCCGGGATCGAACCCGGGCCGCCGCGGTGGGAAGCCAGCGACTAAACGCTTGAGCTATGGCGCGGCCAAGATGAAGCCTTACCGCACGACCAACCTGATGGGTGGGGCAGTCTAATGCTATGGTTTCCCCTTTGTACGATACGCAGGTACAGCGTGGAAATTAAGAGCATTCAAGGCGCGACGGTGAACAGCAAAATCCGTGCTCCTCTGAACGGAATCCAATCCCGGCCGCCCAGTTCCACCCGGCAATTCACTGATTCGACTGTCACGACTGCAGGGCGCGCATGTGTCGACAGGTGCAAGGTAACGGTTTGACAGTTGTGTTGTCTGTCCCTGGGAAGTGTGGGAAGACAGACCCGTGGCAACTAGGCTACCAACTCTGTATGTGTTTGTGAATTAAACATTTGTTTCCGCTTATGCACTGGAATAATGTCGCCCCAAATGTCTATGAACGTTTACCGAGTATTCACGAAATCAGCTATCTCATACATAACCCGAATAATTTTGACTGTTTAAATAACATCGAATTACTCGACAAATTAGATCGTAAATTCGATTAAATGAACATAAAGATCCTCCAAATATACGGATCTTAAGCAAAGGAGTTTAAGATCGAATTAAGGTTATTTCACTCACTCATGGAGCTGAGCCCTTCTTCAGGAGCCTCCAATGCTGTAGTTAGTCAAGAATTTCCCAGCATTTTATGGAACTCGAAGCTTCATTAGTGTGTTCACAAGAGCCCTCCACTGGTCCCTATCCTGAGCCAGAACAGTCCAATCCTATGTCTCTAAGATCCATTTTAATATTAACCGCCACCTACGTCTTGGTCTTCCCTGTGGTCTCTTTCCTTATGGCTTTCCCACCAATATCCTATATGCATTCCTCTTCTCCCCTATTCATGCTATATGTCTTTCCAATTTTATCCTCCTTTATCTGATCATTCTAATTATACTTGGAGAAGAGTACAAGTTATGAAGCTCCTCATTATGCAGTTTTCTCCAACCTCCTGTCACTTCATATCTTTTCGGTCCAAATATTCTCCTCAACACCCTCAGTCTATGTTTCTCCCTTATGTCAGAGACCAACTTTCACACCCATACAGAACCACATGCAAAATTATGGTTTGGTATTTCTTAATTTTATGTTTTCACACAGCAGACGAGAAGACAAAAGGTTCTGGACTGAATGGTAGCAAATATTACCGAATTCAATCTCCCCTTAATTTCCTCCTGAATCAGGTTTTGATTTGTTATCGTCGTCGCCAAATATTTAAACTCTACTATATTTTCAAAATATCTGTTTCCTAGAGTTCATATACTTACTTCTCTCTGTGTTTATTTTTAGACCAACCTTCTTACTAGCGTCAATCAGTTTCTGAGTTTTTCTTCATGGTGACTATGTTATCTCCCAGTAGATTCACATCATCAGCATAGACCAACAGCTGATGTGTCCCGTTTAATTTTAGTCACACCTGGTTTCCCTGGACCTTCCTAATCGCATATCCTAAGGCAAAGTTGAAAAGGAGTGGCGATAAAGCGTCTCCTTGTTTTAGACCATTCTATATAAGAAATTTATCAGACAAATATTTACCTACACGAACTTCACTATACGTATTTTTAAACACATTTTAATCAGCCTAACTAGTTCATGGGTATCCCTGACTCTATCAGAATATTGTACAATACTTCCCTCCTAACTGAATAACAGGCTTTCTTGAAGTCTATGAATAGCTGATGTACTGTTTCATTGTACTCCAATTTTTTCTCCAATATCTGACGAATGCAAAATATCTGACCTGTAGTTGATCTGCTACGTCGAAACCCACACTGATGATCCCCAATAATTTCATCTATATATGGACTTAACCTTGAAAGAAGAATATTGGACAAAATTTTATATGAAGTTGATATCAGTGATATCCCCCGATAATTACTAGAGTCAGTTTTATCACCCTTCTTGTGAACTGGTACAATAATAGACTCTTTCGATCGATCAGGAAATTTTTCCTTATGCCAAATAGAAGTAGTTACTTATGGAACTTAGAACGTAATACTTCTCCCCCTGCTTGAATAAGTTCTGCCGGAATTTGATCACTACCTGGCGATTTATACCGTTTCAATTTTGCAACAGCACTTTCAAACTCAAAAGGGCTAGGATCAAGTATTAACGGCTCAGCTCTATGGATTTCTGTCTGCCTAACAGCACTGACCCTATGTAAATTCAATAACTGAGAG